GCTGGATCGCGGGGATAGCGGCCGCTGGACGCGCGTCGCGTAGAGCACGAGGAGCCGCTCGCCGTTCTCCGTGACGTGGTAGATCGGCGGCGGCGGCGGCGACACGACCTCGCCGTTGGGCACGACGTAGAGCTTGGCGACGCGGCGCGGCTGGCCGGGCGGCGCGAGCGCGCGCGGCTCGAGGAGGCCGCACGGGTCGCGGTAGAAGCTCGCGACGGCGGCCGTCGACGCGGCGGTCTGCGTCGGGCGGAAGAGTCATAAACTCATGGCCAAAAGCGGGACGCGGCGTCGTGCCTGGGCCTCCTCGCGCTCGCGCGCGGCGCGCTCGCGGCGGCGCTCGATCATGCGCTCGAACGTGTTCGCGAGGCCCGCGCGCGCGACGCGCCGCGAGTGCGCGTCGATCGGCGGCCGGGAGCCGTCGGGCATGGGCTCGGGCGGCGCCAACGCCGCGGCCTGGTCGCGCAGGTAGGCCTCGTCCGCGGCCTCGACGTACGCCAAATCCTTGAGCTGGAGCGCGAAGTCGGCCTTGTAGCGTTCGAGGCCTGCGGCGGGCGACGGGTTTGGAAACGGCTTCGAAGCGTCGACGCCGCGACGCGCCCGCGACGTGGAGCGGCGGCAGCGGCTTCTCGGCCCCGGCGCGCGCGACGTTGACCTCCTCGATGCGCGCGACGACGACCTCGGAGATGCGGTGCTTCTCCTGGATGGAGACCTACACGGGCGACGTCGCGGAGACATCGATGAGAGACGCCGGAGCAGGATGCCTTGACCGCGGCAATCTCTGCGAGGGGTCGCGCGTCGCGCACGCGTTTTCGCGAAACGAGACGCCGCGGTCGCGCCCGGGTCCATCGGGTCGTTGAGCCAGCGGCGCCGCTGGCCGACGATCTGGCCGATGACCGTCGTGCCGATGTTGAAGTGCGCCGCCGCCTAGAAGATGTCGCGGTCCGTCGCCGCGCGAGACTCCGGGGACGCGGCGGCGCGACCTCGACCTTGGAGTCGTAGGTGCCGAAGACGATCACGTCGCTGCAGTTGCCGCCGCCGCGCGCGCCCGGGATGGAGGCGAGCGCCGCGACCTTGCCCTTGGCGCAGTAGACGTCGCTGATCCCGTAGAAGCGTTCTTGCGAAGGGCGCGCGTCGGGACGAAGAGCA